ACATTTTGTATACATTCTCAACGATACGAGAATCATTACAAAATTTCCGTACTTAGGCATTTTCAAAATATTTTTAAACATACACAAACACAAAGCATTATTTTCAAAGTGAACTAGCAATTAAGAGCCCGTAAATAACTACGGATGAAAAGGGTGCTAACAGCTTCCCTTCTCATAACCTATCCCTCGAACTCAAGAAAATTCGCAAAGGTCTTTCCTGTTCTTTTCACCCTTTTCTTTATTGGATAAAAGAAAAGTCAGTGGGGATTGTTGCTATCTATAATATTTGCGATGAAACGCAAAACTCAAAAGTCAGTTCTCCCACTGTATTACACTAATCATCATAACAATCTTAAACACTTTGAAGATGCAATTTATGACAAAGTGAAGCTATGTGAGATTTTTGATAAAGGGGGAATTTGTTGGATCAAATAGTATATCCATCCAAGTCTCACATCGGGTAGTAGGAAGAATATAAATTGGAAGTATTATTATATATATGAAGAATTAGTTTAAGTTTATTCAACACCACAACAAAATATAGTCTTTTAGATGTATTGGAGATTTGGGCAGTTGTGTGTCTAGATAGAATTTTCTATTTTTCCATAGTTTGTTGAAAAGGTTTCCTATTTGGGGGTTATTTTTCCCACCCTTAAGGGTGCTCCCATGCCGACGTCAAAATTCATAAATGTCCCTAAGGTCTGAAGATTAATCTTCGGATTCACTTTTCACACACTCTTCAATGAAAATTGATGAGAAGCTCTTATTTTTCAAAAATTTAATCTAGAGATGCATCTCCATATGTGTATGAGGTCAATTCGAAGATGCATCTCCGTAAACACCATTAGTTTAAACTTTAGTGTGTGGTACTAAGATGCATCTCCTGACGCATTTCATACATTAACATGTGCCAGAACCTTCCCTCAACCTCTTTCATTTTCTAAAAACTCACTAAACCTATAAAAAAAACTAATTAGTGTTATTCCTAAACCATTCAAGCTTCTCACCCAATCAAGCTTCTCACTACATTATAACTTTTTGGTGCAAAGTTTCTCACTTCATTCAAGCTTCTCTTTCACAACTTAGATTTGGTAAATTTTTCAAAAATCTTTTTTTTTGTGTTTAGAATTTTTTTTGTTGAAACATAAGATGTTTAAGCTACATTAGATAGTGAACAAACGAAATAGGTAGCCTAAATAGACATGCATTAAAAGTTATTTGGAGTTTAGGCCAGTAATGGTGATTCTTCCATTCTACAAAATCGTAGTTTTATTCGGAGATGCATCTCTAGAATCTTTCTGAAATATTTTTGGAGATGTATCTTTGAATTTAAACCTTGCATAATTTTGGTTGCATTTTTTATTTGACTATCTGGTTTTAACGCAAGTGCAATGACTAAAAACAACCCTGGTAAAATTAGGCTCGACAGTGTGTCCTAAATCGCGTATGTAATATGCAAGAGGGTCGCTAGCAGGACCACGAGTTGATGAAACCTCATTTGATAGTTCTCAACCATTTGGTTATACTTCTCGTAGTCGCATATCTTAAGCCTCTACTTCACAGGGCCACAAGCCCCTAGATGATTAAGCAGCACCTGAAGCCCGGGAGGTACCCGCTGGTGATGGCCCTCTAAAGAGTTATCCAGGAGGCCCATATGACATATTCTTACTCCATGTCTATGCATAAAATGTTGCTAGGTATGTATGGATAGGAGAGGTTTATTTATTTACTTTTGCAATACATTTGTTTTATACTAAATAAATTGAGACTGATGGTGATATTTTTTTACAGGAGCATTATGTTTAAAATTTGTAAGCCACGACAATAGAATATTAAAGTTGGTACAACCCGACGCTAACTGGTTCAGGGATGTTATCTGATATACGTGTCTTGTCGATTTATGTGTTGATGCGTGCATGATTGTAAACCATGGTATGCATGCAATATTTGTAAAGAGATGGAATTAAGAGATATCATTTTTTCATCTTTCTGTTATCGAGATGACTATTACCCTGGATGGCGTCTCGTGCCTCTTGCATCTTCCCATCAGGGGGAAATTACAGGGCCATAAAAGGATCGGTCGAGAGGAAGTCAACGAGATGCTAGTTACATATTTGGGGGCTGACTCAACTAAGGCGGAAAATGAAGTTAGCACTATAGGAGCTCATGTTAGATTTAAATTTTTGGAAGACCTCTATAAAGACTACCCGCGGTGGGACGTGGAGGCTGATGGTGATGGTATGCAAGTTGAGTACCATCAAACGTGTGCATTGAGGTGTTACCTCTTGTTCCTGGTTGACACATCCATTTTTTGTGGATAAAAATGAAACCTACATCGATGTGGTCTACCTTAAGTACTTCATCAACTTAACGGTAATTCACGAGTACAACTAGGGGCTTGTTTGGTCTACCTGTACTTGAAGTTGAGCGAGGGTTATCTTTGGAAGATAAACCAGATGACAGAAAGTTGCATGTTGCTTACGGTAATTTATTGTTACTAATATTTTCATATTTCATTTGTTACACTTGTTAATGATATTCTATCTAGATCATTTTTAGGGATGGATCATCTCTCACTTCCCTCTCATCACCGGGTGAGAAGTTGTGCCTACCTACATTGAGGGTTGGCCATGTATTGTGGTCTTTATCCTGTATAGAGGGAATAATGTGATCGAGTCATTCAAAGTGTATCTTGATTGTCATGTCACCGGGTGGGAAGTTGTGCCTACCTATATTGAGGATTGGCCTTGTGTTGTCGCTTTTACCTCGTATAGGGGGAATAATGTGATCGATAAATTCAGAGTATATTTTGATTGTCATGTACCAGATGACATTTCCATTTGCCCATACAATGGTAACCTCGAGACGTGTCAGTTGGCGTCATCTCTTTGTACTACAGATGGATGGAACGTGGGTCAGCTTTGATGTATTCTTATTTTCCCGAGTGAGTGATGCGCCAGTTTGGCTATTTATAGATTATCCTGAGACCCCCCCCCCCCCCCCTTTTAGTTTGCTTCTTCCACCGTATGCCAGAGATGTTACTTGAGGATTTCGAAAGTCATTCGTACAAAAGAAGTATCATAGGGTGTTAGCGCCTGTACATTGGGCTTATGTAGACGGCTACATGGCATAGTTCTATACGGTCATGACACCAGATGCTCCTAGGAGACTACTTAGATCAGTTAATCAAGAGATACTTGAGGTTAGAGAGGACCACGTCGAGGACGTGATGGCGGTCTATCGATGTATTTTGGAGAGTTGGCTCTGTAGAAGGCATGTTTGCCTTGTAGTTATGTTTGGTCGGATACATCTAAAGGCTAAAGACTCACCCAAATAAGCGAGAAAGACACAACATATTCACCAAAACTTTTAAGGTGATAGGAGTATGGATCCTCTCATTTATAAAGTGTTCAATTTTCACTTTTCCAAACAATGTGGGACTTAAAATTCACACTTGTTTCTCAATACAACTCACGCTTATTTATCAATGTCAATGGACTAATCTTAAATCTTCCTCATACATGTCATAACCAAATGGAAAAAACTGCAATTTATTTGTCACAAAAGTGTTTCAGGAATTTCTTAGTACACCCTTATATGGGTGGAAAAAATCTCTGAAAATCCTAAAATACACTTTGGATATCCATACCCGAACGAACCCCTATGTTTCATTTTCAGGGAGTTTTCAGATATGCATATCTGAAATAACTCAATATTTCGTCTTTAGGGGATTTTTCGGATATGCATATCTGAAATAACTCAATATCTCAATTTTACTTTGATTTTATTTTGAATTTAATTTAAATTTAATTTGTAATCATTCTAAATTTGAATGATATTTATTTTAAATACATACAATTTTATTGCTCTTATTTATTTCATATTTATTTTTACTATATTTTGAAATAAATAATTATAATTTTAAATTAAGATTAGACTTAAATTAAAATATAAAAAAATTATATATTTTAAAGCATAATTTCTCCAATTTGTTTAAAAATTAAAGGTTATATTATAACTTTGCTCTAATTATTTGTATAAATTATACGAAAGAAATAGATAGAAGAATTTATTCTAACTTTTCAAAAAATCATTTGACATATTAATTTTCTTAATATATGTATTAACTTTTTTTCAATTTAAAAGATTCTAGTATGTTATTTTGATAAATGATTATTTTAAGAAGTTAATAATAATTAGATTTTTTAATTTTGACTTTAAATTGTATTGTTTAATTCGGATATGTATATTTGAAAATTCTCTAAAAATAAAATATTTAATTATTTCAGATATGCATATTCGAACAGTAATAAGAGTAGTGTACTAGAATTTCTTATACATTTTTGTTAACAGTGAAGACAAGTACCATCGATGTGGAAATTGACAATAAGAAGAAAAAATAAATTATAATGTTAATCCTCATGCATTATTTTTTCTATATTATACTATAGAAAGGGACGTGGCACATATTGCACCAACCAGAGTCCAATTTCTGACATGACAAACAATAGAGAATCTTATGCCAACTTTATAACAAAAAATGGTTGATTTCTGTTACATATTCTCCAACTTTTGTTTATATATATAACACATGTTCTCTTGAAACACGGAGATATTGGTTCTGCCTCTTGGTGTTCCAAACTGATCATAAACATTTCATATTTTTTATATTAATTTATAGTATAAGATCATAATCATCAAAGTACGCTAACCCTTTTGATTTTGCTATCTTCAGCTTCATAAAATCTAATTCATTTGTTATGGTCTTTTTGTTGTGCTAAAGAGATGGTTAACATATTTTTAGCATATGATTAGTATACATATAAATAAAAATTGTGTTGATTTTGTTATGGTGTGTGAGGGTGGAGATGAAACTGAGATCGTTTTTTGGTTTTTTTGATTGGTTGCAGTTTGTGGATTGGAGAAGAGTGAAAGTGAAGCCATTTGTGAGTAACTCGAGAACATTCAGGTTGCATCAACTAATAGATAATTCAATACAAATGCCTTTGAATGTGTTTCAAGATAAAGATGGATTGCCGAGGATTGTATTGACTGATCCAAATGGTTCTTCAGCTGAGGTTGGTTTGTTTCTCTTTCGCTGATTAAGTGATTATAGCATAATCACTTATCATATAAGTGTTTTTATATGCTATGGTTTCATTCAGGTGTTTCTCTATGGAGGCCAGATTGTTTCTTGGAAGAATCAAAGGAAAGAAGAACTGCTTTTTGTGAGCAGCAAGGTAAAAAAAAAAATGATTGGATTCTAAGTTTGACCGAAGATTGTTCTATCCGATGATCGAACTCGGGTGTTTGTTAATATCATTTGAGAAAACTTTTTGTTGATCAGGCTAAATGGAAACAGCATAAAGCAATTAGAGGAGGTATATCAGCTTGCTTTGCAATGGTAAGTACTTTCTTTCATCACATTTACAATATATAGTTGAGACACAGAAATGGGGCGCGAGATGATGTTGATACTGATACTGATACGTGGATACTAGTAATAATTCGAGAAAATGAAAGTAGTTGAATCTAGTTATATGCATCGGTGTCGGACATTGACAGGTGTGATATTCGAGTACAATTTTGTGTTGCAGTTTGGTGAAGTTGGTTCGCTTGAGCAACATGGAATGACAAGAAACAGAATGTGGTCATTGGATAGAGATCCTTCACCATTACCTCCAATAGACAATCATTCATCTGTGGATTTGATATTAAAGTCAACAGGAGTTGACTTAAAGAAACCACATAGGTATTTATGATCATATGTAGCACCGCCATTTTATATGTCCGGTGTCTGATTCATGTCAATGTCAGACACTAACACAACACTATCATTTATAACTACGTTCAATTATGAGTTGTTTGCATATTAATGTCGTGTCTGGATTGTGCAGTTTTGAGTTGAGGCTTCGCATATCTCTGAGTGCTGGCAAGCTCATTCTGATTCCTAGAGTCAGAAACACAGACAACAAACCATTTTCTTTTGCATTTTCACTATGCAACTATTTATCTGTATCAGATATAAGGTATGCGCTTTACTTACTTTTTATGACCAAAATGACCAAAAAAGTTGATGAAGATGAAAAAAATTCTGCAGTGAAGTTCGTATTGAGGGATTGGAGACACTTGATTATTTTGATAATCTGGTGAACAGATCAAGGTTCACTGAACAGGCTGATGCAATTACATTTGATGGAGAGGTAGGAATCATAAAACATCACTTTTCTTTGAAAATCAAATTAAATCAATTAATATTCAGCACACCATAATAGATCATAAGAAAGTGAGAGTTTTGTTGTTTTGGTTCCCTCGTAGACGGACAGGGTATACTTGAGCAGCCCGAATAAAATCGCCATAATAGATCATGAGAAGAAAAGAACCATTGTACTCCAAAAGAATGCACTTCCAGATGCAGGTAATTACTACTTATAAACATTTGATATATTCAAATAACAGTGTTTCTCATTTCTCGATTTGTGATGAAACTGCAGTGGTATGGAATCCATGGAATAAAAAGGCCAAGGCTCTACCCGATTTGGGAGATGAAGATTACAAGATGATGTTATGTGTGAACTCAGCAGCTATTGATGTTCCTATTTTCTTGAAGCCATGTGAAGAGTGGAAGGGCTATCAAGAACTCTCTACTGTTTCATCAAGCTATTGCAGTGGACAATTGGATCCTCGCAGAGTTCTTTATGGCTTTCATTGATGCAGTCAAATAAATCAAGGTTTATATATATATATTACATTGCTTTTGAGAAAACAAAAAGGTGTGCATGGAAGTCATGCTGATAGATATATAGCATAACATAAAGCCCTTTTCCACCTTACAATAATTTGAGAGAAGCTTAGCTTGATGGCATTATGCCATGACAATTACTAAGCAATTTTTTCTGTGTATTTGTTAAGTTCCAGTCAAATTATTCAGAGATTGGAAACTGGTGATTTTGTGTATACATACTTACTATTTGTAAATTAGGAAAAATAACATGAACTTTTTTCTTTCTTTCTTTCTACGCCTTTTGTTAGGAGAACCTGCAAATATTCTGGCCCTATGATCATTATTAACATGTTTCTATCCGCACTTATACCTTCTCTAATTGCAGGATAATTAATGCACACTAACAACATAGTCCTCATCTAAAGAGATTAAACAGAATACAAATGCTTGCTCGAAACAGGTTTTTCTTGCACATTTGATTGGTGTTAACATGATAAAGGAGAAAGATAAGAAAACGAAACATCTTAATCACGCCGGAATATTGTGAACCGTAACCGGCAAGAAACAGGTCCTAAGGAAATCATAATTTAAAATCCAACATGGAATGTATACATTCTCCATAGATTGTGCTAGCTGTACAATTTAACACAAAATGTATAAATTGGAGACAAATGAAAATATATCACTCGTCGTCATCTTCATCTTCGAAACCTTCAGCAGGCCCGGCTTCATCTCCAATGCCTTCAAGTAGTTGGTCAACATCCTCTCCCAACTCCAGCAACCTAGCACTAAGTTTATCAACCTTGCTTTGCTCTTGCCCGAGGCATACCAGCAGATCATTCAGTTCAACCTCACTCTCCTTCATAGCTTCTTCCCTTGCTTCAGCTTTTATTGCCTCTACATCTGGGAGTGTTGAGAGCCCTCCACCCCTCAGTGCTTTCACCTCATTTTCCAGTTGAAGGTTAGATTGCTCAAGGCTATTGTATGCATCGGATAGACTCAATAGATCAGCTTCCATCTTTCCAGCTAAATTCTGATACATATTTGCCTCTGATTCAATTTTTGCTTTTTCTTCCTTAAGCGTCTCCAACCTTTTAGATGCTTCTTGGAAATCTCTACGGAGTGTCTCTGTTTGGACTCTGTCGACGCCTCCACTCACTCTTTGTTCAGACTGGAAACTACTGCCAGTCTTAGCCAGGTCCTCGGCCAATGTACCATTTCGAAGAACAAGATCCTGAGACGATTAAAAAAATCACTAAATAATACAAATATAAAGAATAGTCAAACCATGTTACATTTGTTGAAGAGCACATGACCCTACCCACTTCTTATTCTTCTAATGGACTCAATACACCACACTCATGGTATAAACCTCAAATAATTACAGATATACTAAGGTATCATCAAAACATACCAAACTTGCTGGGCAATCAACGAGGACGCGAGTCTATGGCAATACATCATAGTAACATCACTTCACAAGAATGCTTTTTGCTATCTTATTATGCTACCATTTAAAACCAACTCCAGAATCACACATTAAGCAAATGACTGCAAATCAAAAACCACACAACTAAATGCTCAGAAAATCTATTATGGCCGTTCTCAATTGCTCCCTATGTTCCTTTTTAGTTGTTGTTTTAAGATTATTTACATGTGCCAAAATATTAAATTTTGTAACTATTGATAGAACTGTTTGTCTCTTTCCTATAATACTCTCAATCATTTACTATCTCACTCTACCTATTTCTCTCCCTACAATAAATAGTTAAGGGTTATTGACAAAACAATAGTGTTAATGTTGCATTGAACTTTCAAAACGACGTGTAAATAAGACGAACAATTTTCTACAAAATCGACAACCAAAAAGGAATAGAGAGTATAAAAAGGTAGACGAACTGAAAGGAACAGATTCATGACTTATTCTTGTATACATTTTAAGAGGAATTGACAAATACAAATAATACCTGTATCTCAGAGTGCTGATTCTCAACAAAAGCTTTCAACCGCTTTATATATTCACCATCACTTTCACCACTCTTCTGCTCTATTTCTGACGGTACTACCGCAACTTTAGTTTTTGGACGACTATAAACCTCCACAATCTGTTCTCTAATATTTGCTTCCAGCCTTTTGACAAAACTCACAAAGTAAGAATCCAAGATTGAAGCAAGAATCGGATGATCCGCATTTTTCTTTTCTGACAAATCATTCTCATCTACATCTTGAATATCTGCCATACTAGCAGCTGAAGATCTAGAGAATGATCTATGTGTGAGTGATGACTCCGCGTTAGCGAAAACAAAACTCTTATGCATCTCCTCAAATTTTAAGAAGTACAAACTGAGCCCTATTTTCTGACTTATTAAATCAACAATGGCAAATGCATCTTTTCCGCTATCAGGGGAATTGTTATAGATCACACATTCACCCAACACAACTGCTGCAAATCCCCTTATACACACTGTTTCTGACGAATTTGATACTAGCTCAAGAAGATAGGTTAGGTGGGGCCGGGCATCTAGGAAGCAGTGCACTGCATTGTGGCAATCTGCTAGCCAGGTAACCAGTAATTTCAAAATAACAGCTTGAACATATGAATTTCCTGATGTATTATTAGACTTTCCATCTTTGGATTTCATTGAAGAGGCAAGGGCTAAATATTTCACCATTCGATGCATCAGTGGTTCGGGAGCTCCTAAAGATTGCATGGGTGCCTCAATTTCAATTCGCAAAACCTGAAACGTCTCTCATAAGATTTCTGAGCACCTAAATTTCTGTTTTTCCTTTTCTAAATCTTACGATTCATACTATCATCAAGTATAAATTTGTGAAGAAAAAAAAATGTCTAGTGAAAAGAAACCAAAAACAGGTCAACATTGATGTGGCATGGCTAACAGCATAAGGGAGTGAGACAATTTTCTTTTTCTTTTCACTTGGAGTAAAAGCTTAAATTGGATATGAAATACCCATATAGTAGAATGCCTTTCTATAGAAGAAATCTATTGTCTATAAAATTATCATGTTATAGTTTAAAATGAAGTCACTGATTTTTATTTGATAAAAAATTTAGTCATAAAACAAATTAATCAGAATGTATTATGTAGTCCCATTATCTTGCTAAAACTGGTTGTAAAATAAAGCTAAAAAATACAATGAAGCAAGGAATTATTTGCATACCCTTTCCTTGCATGGGAGATTGTCCTTCAATATATGTGATAGAACACTAGCAGCTCTACTACAAGTCTACATATTTAACATAACGTTAGTCAGATGATTCATACTAGTAGCAGTGGGCATCCATTTAACAGGTAATATAAATTAGAAAGAAAAAAAGATATGTTCATTTGAATTTTACACTCGACAGTTCCGATGGGATTAGCTTGCCCATATAAATCTGAAATATATATAAAGTATTCACATACCTCAAGATCACCATTGTTTTCACCTAAAGTAAGACCGTGTAATAGCATGCTGAAAGAGAAACAAATGATAAAATTAAAAGTGATTGAAGATAGCATATTAACCCAAATGTTAAAATTTAAGAAACAGACACAAACAAGATTTTGTTGTATTAAAAAAATTCAATTGCAAAATATCAGTAAGTGTGACATTAAAGCACCACAAACAGAACAAACCTTCCAAAAGACATATTAACATCCTCCTCATGGAATGAATGATTCACGGAATATGGTTGTGGAATTAGAGTAGACGCTAGCATTGCTTGGCCATCAGCATTTTTCTGATTTAGATAAGGTTAATCAAAAAAGGAATAAATCCATTAAAAAAACAGAAATAAAACCTACGTAGTCAAAAGCATTAATATGCAAATAATCAAATTTATTAGCTTTTCAATCATGTGATATGTATGATGATGAGGAATGCTTTTAAAAACAACTCAAGATAAAGAAGTATGCATAACCAACCTCACAAAAGTTTTTGAAAACATAATCAGCTGCAATGAACTCTTGCATGCTAGAAGACCTCAAAATTATTCGAAGTATAGAATTCAAAGCAGGTTCGACTTGTGGCTCCTCTCCAAGAACTTTGCTAGCAAGAAGATCGAGATTCTTCGAATCTCCAACAATCAAGTCCCCAATACATTTCAAGGCCTAATAAGATAGAATTTAACAGCATCAAATTGAAAACCATTTCATACTTCATAGTAATTGAAAAAATTCATACAGACTAGACACTTCAGAACAAACAAAAATTTAGATCGATGGCGATGGCGTAGAACAAAACTGAGGATGTTGCGTTGGAGGTATGGTGAGACTATAAGGGATAAGATTAGAAATGACATTAATAAAGAGATGGCGGGAAATAGGCTTAGGTGGTTTGGGTATGTAGAGAGAAGACCTGTAGACTCCTTGTAAGCTAGAGGTAGAGGAAGACTTGGAAAAACTATAAGAGAAACTTTTAAGAAAGATATTGAGATTAACAAATTGGATAGAAATATGGTCTTGGATAGAACATTATGGCGTAATTTGATCCATGTAACCTACCCCACTTAGTGGGATAAGGCTTGGTTGTTGTTATTGATAGTGTAGAATAGAAACTGGGAAAGGCATACAACTATAACCAAAAAGTAAAAATGCTCTTTTGAAATGGAAATAAAGCCAAGGTAAATTGGGGGCATCGACTATTTTATATGTAAATGATATGTTCAGATATTAAAAAATGTGAAAAAGATTATCTTATATGTAAATGATATGTTCAGAAATATAATTTTATTATTGTTTAAAAGCTGATATTATATAAAGTATTTTATAATGAAAATTACTACTAGGACTTTACATTCAAAATCACAAAGACAGTGTTAAACTAAATCTATAATGAACATATAAGATCGAATAATTAATTAAACAATATTTATATTTAGAGCTGATGTATCTATACATAGTGAGAGGAGAGTTAACTTACCGCACAGCGAACTGCAACGGGTACCCATTGGCTTTCAACACCTAATATCAACAAAATGTCCAGTA